AACTAGAGGGGTCCAATTCTCTTCAAGTTAATGAAGAAGGAATTCCCATTGAATTTACTGAGGCTTGTATTGTCGAAGGCTTTCATGGCTGGAATCACTAGGTTCTTGTGGGTTTTTTCGGGCTATAGAGCCATGTTCTAGAGGCATTTCTCCTGACGTTTCGCCTGCATCTATGGCAAGCATCCTCAGAGGTTGAGAAGGTCTTACTGAGGCTTGTTTCTAGTAAATGTACACAGGCTTACGGTAAAAAAAAACTCAAGAGAGAGAAAGGTGTCTTCCATTTACCTATATTTCTGGATGTACTGAGACATCCCTTTTCTTACTTCACTAATTTGTTGTTTTTACTTCTTTCCTAAAGATTATTATCCTGTAATAAAATGGCAAATGCTTTCGCTAATACTAATTACAAAGGAAATTGCATTTCTACACCCAAATCTTTTTTCAATTTAAGCAAAAATAAGGCAACGCAATTGTGTGCCAAATTTTTTTCTTCCCTCTTGGAAACCGACAGCATTTTGAAGCTAGATGCTGCAAAACACATGTAAAACTTATGGGACATAGAACTTAATGAAACGATTTATTGAAAGGAAATCCAGTAGCTTCCAGTGCAGCAGGCAATATAAAACAAGTCTCCAGATATAGCATTTAACTCAGCTTTTTGATGTAATGATTTAGTTGTTGCCAGTGTTACTACTGCTATAAGATACATTTACTTTTATCTTCCTTTATGAGTTGCCAAAGGTAGAAAGCTTCAATTCTTTTGTAACCTCTACAGTCTAGAATTAGAAACATGCACAGTTACAGGAGAAACTCATATTATCTACTGTATAAACTTTCCTGTGATGAAATAGAGCACTGGATGACCAAGAGATGAACTATCTGCTCACACCAGCTGGGGCAGGCATGGGCAAACTTGGGCCCTCTGGGTGTTTTGGACTTCAACTCCCACAATTCCTAACAGCCTATCCACTGTTAGGAATTGTGGGAGCTGAAGTCCAAAACACCCTGAGGGCCCAAGTTTGCCCATGCCTGAGCTAGGGCAACAGGCAGTTTTTCTGGGCTTTTGTGTTGTTGTTGTCCCATGCCCAGTACCTTCCTATGAAACAAATTGGGAGAAGTTGCACCAACAACTTAATGGTACTCTAGGTTTTGGATCACCTGCTCTGCCATTCAGCTTTCCAGATATAAGTAAAGCTGAATAAGGGTGGGGGTGGGGGCGATAAGGATCTGAATGTGTCTTTATCCACCCTCTGCCAGCACCAGTGGAAAGATCTTCCCTATTCATTGGCCTGGTTAGCTCTGGCCATAAGTCAATTACAATGCCATATATACTTGTGTATATGTCAAGCTCATTTGGCAGAATTGGAGGCTAAAATGATGGGTTTTGATATGACAAGTGGGTAAGTCAAGGGCCATCCAATGGATAGGGGAAAACACCACCCCAGTGAGCCTGCTATCCCTGGACACCAGCCTGCCATTTTTCTACCTAGGGATTTTAAAAGGCCTGGTGTAATGCTTGATATTTATTATTACTGTTGTTTTAGCTTGTGTCTTTGCTGCCACTAGTATAGAAGCTTGAGCTATTAGAGGATACTGTTTGTCATTCTTCTAACCCAACTTTCCCTGGATAGTGATGACTCCAAGGGTATACCCAAGCTAGGTGTCTTCAAAATCAGTTAATCTCATCTAGGATTGGCTTCTCTTCCAGGCCAGATCCAGTTTGAAGAGGATCAAATAATCAGTTTCGTCCAGAGCTATGTGGAATGGCATGTGATCCTGCTAAAATTGTGTCTAGTTGTGCAAAGGTTGTCTTTTCTAGGCTCATCAATACTTATATTATCTGTTTAAGGAATACACATTAGGTGTGTGAGTGGGGTTTGTAGTTTTGCTACATTTTTGCAAACAAAGATGTTGCATTCAATTCGAAATGAAATAAAGTGACCAGGACATAAGACCAAAACTAATCTTTAAAGGATAGTCCTTTCCTTTTTAGAAAACCTCAGCTGAGATTTTATAGATGTCTGATTAATTAATCCTTAAGACTGAGGATCTAACTATAGTTTTATAGATGTTGATGCCTGTTGCAACACTTCCAGTGTCTGTGCTGATCCACCCATTCTCTAAAGACATGGAAATGCTGTGTTTTGTGGGACAGTATTGCTTAAAGAAATGGGTTTGGGGGGATTTGGCTATTTGTCATTGAAGAATTATTCACAGCAACCACAAAACAAGCTAAAATACTGTTAGTCTGATTTATGTGATAGTAATTCACCAGCCTAACTGTCTTATTTTATGCTTAGAGTACCACATCAACATTGATTCATAAAAATACTGAGTTTCCCATTGTTTATGAATCCTAGCTGTTCCCATTTGGGTTTGGTATCATAATCCAGGTGTCAAGAAAATATGTTACATTGGAGACTTGATTGACATCCGTATTTCCAAGGACTGGGGACCAATAATTGAATAGCCAATTAAATATTACAGTAGCTTTATGAAATACTCAGATTCAAAAGAATTGCATGTTAAAAAGATAAAGGAAATTTTCTTAGAAAGTACAAAAAGAGCAAAATGCAAACAGGAGAAAAAAGAGAACACTTTCATGGACCAAAGATTTTCTTGCTATTCCTATCTGGTTCCCTAGATCTGAGGAACACTTTTTGCCCTGATACTGTTTCCAATCAGAACATAATAAAAAAAACACATCTCAGATTCAAAAATATAACAACACTATAAACGATGACTACCAGGAAAACCAACATCAAAATACAGAAGGTGCAATAGTAGGATTCAGGAACTGATAAAAAACGTGGGGGGTTTTTTCCTCCAAGAAGGTGGGCAGAAGAAGGGACCGTGACAGAAGACCTCAGAGGCTAACCTGGGTGGGATTTGTGGTAATCCTTGATGTAGATATTAAATGCCAGGAAAATTCGCGGGCAGATTTTAAACTTCAAAATCTGCTATTTAGCCTGCAAATAGGGAAGCTGCAGAACTATATTGCATATATTATAGTAATTGATTCATAAAGTCATAATTTATGTCACAATTTACAGGAAATGCATTGTAGTTCACATTTCAACTGGACAAGTTCAGTGATTCCCTAAGATATAGTTCTGTTTCTTGCAGTCATGTTTAGAACAGGAGTAAAGGCTGAAAACACAAATAAAGAATACAGGGAAGTAGTTAATGGAAAGCAATGTTGGATAGTTCAGAACTCTAGTACATTGGAATCCATTTAGTATTACTAATGCAATTATGTTCAACTGTTTCAGAAAACAGCCTGTGTTTTTCCTTAGCACCAAGCAGCTGATTTTGGGAGAGGCTATTGACATTTTGGACTGGAATGTTGACATTTTGTAACCTATCTAAGATTTGGCCAGCTGTCTTATTCTTAAATGTTGGGCAGTTTCAGACACATTGAGCATGAAACAATGGGCACAAGAGATGCTATCTCTTGATGTCTATGATATAATAGTATATAGAAAAAGAGATCAACAAAGTGCTATAGGACAATAGAGGTCCTTCCTAAAATGTTTTGGGGTTTCACAATTTGGATGGTCTCTATCAAGCTACCTAGCTTTGTACTTCACTTCCCACACATTCCCAAATAATCTCTTCCCTGAGAAGGTGCTCAAAAGATACCAGAGATTTTCTCCCTCATAATAAAATGGCATTCCTTGGTAAATATTACGACACATAAAGTTACATACATCTCAACAGTTACATTGTCAGACTTGATCTGCATTACACATGTTTATATGTCTTTTTTAGCAGTCTATATTATCCACAGAACTTATGTCTAGCAGTTGGTTCTCTTCTTATCAGCTTTCTTCACTTTCTAGCTTTCACAACCATACATAGACATTGGAAATATAGTGGCATGGACAATTCTGACCTTGGTATTCAATTAAATATCATTATACTTGAGAAACTTATCTAGTTCCTTTATAGCTGCCCTTCCAAATCCCAGTCTTCTGATTTCTTGACTGCAGTTCCATTTTGATTTATGACTGCACCAAGTTATAAGAAATCTTTCACTATGCCCTATGTCTTCACTGTGTTCTTTTAAATTATGTTAATGATATGTCATCATTATTTTTGTTTTCTCAATGTTCAACTGTAAACCTGCCTATGGACTTCCTTCCTTGACTTTCAGGATCCCCCTTTTAAATGATATTGCCCCTGCAATAGTATCATTTCTGTGTCATTGGAGCCTGGATGCACTACAGAGAAATCCCAAGGACCCAGGAAGTTTCTGCTGATGCCTGTTGCAACACAGCCAGTGTCTCTGCCAATCCACCCACTCTCCAAAGACATGGAAATGTTTTGTTGTATGGGACCGTGTTTCTTAAAGAAATTGATTTAGGGGGAATTTTGGTTATTTGTCAGTAAAGAATTCTTCACAGAAACCACCAAAACAAGCTGAAATGGTGCTTAGTCTGATTTATGCCATAGTAATTCACCAACAGGATCCTATCCCCAGTATCTTGTTTGCATGCTTAGAGTACCACATCAGCATTAATTCATAAAAATGTTGTTTCCCATGGTTTATGAATCCTAGCTATTCCTGTTTAGATTTGGTATCGTAATTCAAGTATCCAGAAAATATTTTACATTTAAACATTTCAATATTTATTTCAACCAAGTCAAGGGGTGCTGTGGTTTTAGCTTTGAATATGTATTAATCAATTTAAATAATTTAAACTGTTAATTTTTAATCATCATAACAAATGAATGCAGCAGGCAGCAGCAAAAATTCACCTAACACAGTTCTCTATGCCTCAAATATATATTTACATTCTTTCCCATACAACAAATCTTTCTGTCCTGGTTCCTTATCTTCCAGTAGGCAGGATATCTGTTATGGAATGAAAGAATTTTAGCAGCTGACATGATGCACACAAACTATAGATACAGGGTTGCCATTCAATGTGAGAAGTTGCTTAATATTGGAATTGATCAAACTATGCTACCAAACCTATGTTTCTGTCTCTATTTAGGATAATGGGCCTGTTGTAAACCGAAGAACCCCAACCTTTTCACCTGGAGGAAGTCCAACAGACAACAGACAGATATCAAACGTGCAGTATAACAATCCAACACAGCTGTATACAAATAACAATGCAGATCCCAGTTTACCTTCACAGATGAGTAGTCTCCATATCACACCTCCTCAAAGGTAGGAGAACCAAGCCAGACATGACAGTGGGTATGCTTTTGCAAATACCTCTTCAACGTGGGGTTGGGGGAAGGAATACATTATCAGGAAGGGAGTTAAATACTTTCCCCAGTTATGTTTTTGTAACAAAAAAAACTCATGCATACAGGTGTGCACACAAATTCCAAATATGATAATCATTTTGAATAGCCTAAGACAAGAGATGGCTTATCATAGAATCATAGAATCAAAGAGTTGGAAGAGACCTCATGGGCCATCCAGTCCAACCCCCTGCCAAGAAGCAGGAATATTGCATTCAAATCACCCCTGACAGATGGCCATCCAGCCTCTGTTTAAAAGCCTCCAAAGAAGGAGCCTCCACCACACTCCGGGGCAGAGAGTTCCACCGCTGAACAGCTCTCACAGTCAGGAAGTTCTTCCTCATGTTCAGATGGAATCTCCTCTCTTGTAGTTTGAAGCCATTGTTCCGTGTCCTAGTCTCCAGAGGAGCAGAAAACAAGCTTGCTCCCTCCTCCCTGTGGCTTCCTCTCACATATTTATACATGGCTATCATATCCCCTCTCAGCCTTCTCTTCTTCAGGCTAAACATGCCCAGCTCCTTAAGCCGCTCCTCAAAGGGCTTGTTCTCCAGACCTTTTATCATTTTAGTCGCTCTCCTCTGGACACATTATGTTCTAGAGACCTATGATGTTATCAGTAGTTTTGAACTGGTATCCCAAATAAAGGCAATTTCTGCTAATATTTCCCATGCTGGAAAAAAGGTGGGATATAAATATTGGAAAATTTGGGGTGGGGTGTATCTCTGTGTAACTTGTGAAAAAACTAAAATGGCATATTTTGGTAAAATAGTTTATACAGCTAAGGTACGTCACCCTAACATTCACATGTTTGTGTATAAGTCTACATAAAGAACAACTGAAAACAAGATGCAAAAAAACTTTGAAGTAAATTCACATTATGGTTGTCTTACATAATTTAAACACTAAATATTTTGTGGGTCCTTAGACTATTTTTTACACACATTTCTGCGAAACGTCTGTTTTATCAGATACTTTCTGCAAAGTGCTTATACCAAATAAAATCTGCTTAGTCGTTAAGGTGCTGTAATGTTATTGCCTTTTCCTGTACCAGACTTGGATAGTCTCCAGATGCATTTTTTTAAAAGCAGGCCTAGGGAGGGTCTTTCGGATACAACCAACGATGCACATTTTTGTAACCAGTTACTATTTAGGCTCAAGGCAGGAAATGATTCAATCTGTACAATCCATTTCTGTCATTTGTGTCTTGTAACATGCTTTACATGTCAGTATATTTAAACCAACTATAATCATTTGTAACCTGCACATGTAGCACCACACAACCTCTTGTGTGTATCGGGAAATTGAAAATCAGAAAAGTGGAAAATCTTGAGATACACAACAGTTTTCATGGTACACAGACTATTTGTAGAATCCCAGGCATATGCAGTGTGGTTCTCTCTCAATCACTGTCATGCAGATGCCAATACTAAATTTCTGAATCAAGGCTGAGTTAAATAAAGAAGTTGCATTTTTGAATAGACACCTGCCTTTGATACTGTTGGCAAATGCTCTACATGAAACTAACAAAAACATGTATGAAGAAAGTAAGGTTCATTTATGGGCAAACAGCAGTTGTCGAACTATACAAAAAGTTCTGGAATTTTTTTATTATCATGGAGGATTTTCTTTTTTATGAAATCTAGATTTGTTCCTCTTTATTCAATAGTGTTTTGACCTTCCTTTGCTCTATGCAGTGCTGACCCTTTAAGATCCCTACCAAGAAGCAGAAATGGAATTGACCTGGACTCTGATGTTTACAAAATGCTGCAAGATTATGAAAAACCAGTTTCAGAACCTAAACAGTCAGGATCTTTCCGATATCTGCAGGGCATGTTGGAAGCTGGAGAGAATGGTAAGGAATATATAAAAATTATATCAAAATATTTCTCTTTTTTAAAACTCAAAATTGTTTACAGTTATGTACCATAAATAGAAAGTCAAATTCCATTCAAAAATAAATCAAATCTAGGCCAGTAGGGCTGAAACAAAGACCATTTGGATTGTCCTCATAGATCAATAAATACAATTTAGAGCCTGGATTGCATTGGAATTACACTAAACTTGAGGATAATGGACAGAAACCCATGGAGAGGACCCTAACAGAGTGCTTTGTCTGAGCTGGTTCACCAAAGGCTGAAGTATCTCCTGCTCCAGTGCAACAGGGTAGAGAGCATGGTTTCTACCCTGTTGAGAAGCTTTTCCTTCCAGTCAAAGACATTTCAAGTCATACTTTGCAAGCAAGAATAGAGTTTATGAAGGGGAGAGGCTGGACACCTCTGTTCACCTCAAACCTCTGTCAGATTAACTTCTTCCTTGGAGCTATCCTTGCTACTGGATCATTATCTCCTTATTATCTAATCTTTTAGGTACAGGAAGATCTGTGTTCATTTCTTAAATTTTACTTAAAGAGTACCCCATTCAGATTATGAAAATGGCAGCTTGATGACCTAGAGTTAAGCTATGTGCTGCTACTGTTTTAAACTGGAATTGCACAGTGGCCTACCCAATACTTGCTGTTCTAGTCTCTTTGTTTTAACACTCAGAAGCATCCTGTGTCTCTAAATAAGGATTCCCTCCGGGGACACTGGATTTGTAAGGAAACATAGGTTACCTTGGTTAGTGCCCTTCAGTTGTGAAAGATGACCCTACAAAAACTATAAAGCAAAGAATGTTTGGGATTGTTTTATCTTCTTTACAAAGTCATATTCTTGCTTAATTGAGGGATATAAATACAGGTTGCGAGGCATGCACACACACAAAAGAACAGAAAAACACTCATAAAACTCTTGTTTCCAGTTACACTTTTAAAGCTCTTGTGTGTGCCTTCACTAAAGTAATAGCTGTAACAGAAGCACTTTCATTAAACCTTCCCTGATATATTGGAAAAATCTACCATACTATCTAATGGTTGTGTGGTTGTTGGGGTCTTAAAGCTCAGTACAGAAAGAGATATATAGAGTAGTGTGCATTTTACACATTCATCCATTGATCACATAGTTGATGTTGGCTATTTTGGCAGGGCCTAAACCCTTCAGGGAAAGAGTTCTTGAATTTAGTTCCCCTGTCCAATACAAGTTGGTTATCATCAGCCTGAACAGGTATCCAAGCAAGAATGTTATGAAAACAGAATTCCCAGAACAAGTCCTTCACTAAAATGTTTGGAATAGGATAGCCAACCTGCATTTACAGATCAGGATGAAGGTGCTGAAGGGTAAATGTACGTGAGTACTAAAAACATTGTATATAATTTCATTGTTTTCCCTTTTTCCCCATTCTCAATTTTTTCCTAACTACAGAGAGCTAGCTTCAAACATGCTGCCTGCTTATGTTACAGACTATGTGAGGTCTTTCTGAGTCATGACATACAGTAAAACAAATTAATCACCTAAGCAGTAAAAATGCACTTTAGTAGTGTTATTGCTCGGCTTTACTTGCCTTATGCAGCAAAAGATTTTAAGCTTTTTTCCAATGAGTATGGCTTTAAAATTTGCTCACCATTCCAATGGCACTGAAGGGGGAAATTCATGTGATACCTACCTTTAGCTGTCGAATGTAAGAATATAGTAATTTCATCAGATCAGAGTTTTGCATGTTAGGAACATTCCACATGTCTTAAGTATATAACTTTAAAATATTGCCTTGAATTCTTGGCAGGTGAAAAGCATGACAGACTGGCAAGTCCAAGACATGTTAAATCTCCAGTTTCTAAACTGGGTGGAGCTATGTCTGGCTTACAGATGCTCCCTGAGTGCACCAGATGTGGCAATGGAATCGTGTAAGTACATTGAGCTTCTCAAGAGCCTTAAAGTTTAATATTGTATACTCTTTGGCAAAGCTACATAATGAACACGTGATGTTTGATCTTCTACTGTACAATCTGTGTATATTGTATAAGACAATACAACATGCATTGTAAAAATACAGTGGTAGGAACACATTTGTGATGTGTGTTTCCCAAGCTTTTGATATTCATCTAGTTTCTTGCCCACCCCATATAAGAAAAAATTTCTTTGTTATTTAAATGACCTATTGCTTCTAATGTTTATTCCAAGATATTTGGAATGGCACAGGACTTGTTTGTGCTGAGCTTCAGTGTAGCACAGCTCCATAATTTATATAATTCCTTGTACAGTAGAGTCTGGCTTATCCAACCTTCACTCATCCACCATTCTGTATTATCCAACACAGTCTGCCTCCCGCCCAGATCCACAGCTGTTTCAATGCATTGCAATGTTTTGGTGCTAAATTAGTAAATACAGTAATTACTACATCACATTACTGTATATTGAACTGCTTTTTATGTTGGTTTGTTGTAAAACACGATGTTTTGGTGCTTAATTTATAAAATCATAACGCAATTTGACGTGTAATAGGATTTTCCTTAATCCCTCCTTATTATCTAACATTTTCACTTATCCAACATTCTGCTGACCCATTTATGTTGGATAAGCGAGACTTTGTTGTATTAGAAAAAGGAAATGCATTTGAAAGAATGGGGAGGTGCTTTTGTTGGTTTTCTAAAAAGTATTGAATTCTAGATCACTTTAAATCGTCTTAGATGAGGCAGGTGAGCAGGGGGGAGTGGTGTAGCAGTGTGAACTTATAAAATGCAAGCTAATATAACTTTCAATATATGTTAATGCTGTTTCAATATTTACATTGCTAATCTCATTTTCTTTCCTGCATTCTGATAGTGGCACAATAGTGAAAGCCCGTGACAAGCTCTACCATCCAGAATGCTTCATGTGTGACGACTGCGGCCTCAACCTGAAGCAAAGGGGCTACTTCTTCATTGAGGAACAGCTGTACTGTGAAACACATGCCAAGGAAAGGGTTAAGCCACCAGAAGGATATGATGTGGTAGCTGTTTATCCCAATGCTAAAGTTGAACTTGTCTAAATAAATGCTCGAATTTCCCAGAGAGGTCAAAAGGTGGCACACCCACCCACAGGCGCAGGCTCTGTTTGAAAAGTATGGCTGTAATCAATGCTGATTACTCAAGCCTTAGTCAAATGTCTTTCCAGAGATAAAATGGTTTACACTTGGAATCGCAAGGGAATAGTGCTGAAAGCCTCTGAAAAGGGTTTTTTTTTCCTTTTGACACTTTGCTTTTGGGTTACTGTGTTGTTGTTAGAGTATTTTTTTAAAACCGCAGATATTTTCTTTTGTAGCCCAGTCCAAAACTTGTGTAAATATAGTTTTTAAAACATTGTTTCATATACCACGAGTATTCTTTTTTTCTGTCCTGTTTAAAAAAAAGTTTTAAAAAACTGTTGAAAAGCTCACAAGAAACAAAGCACTTTAAGAAACAAAGTTGACATTTTAAAGCATTGCATTCCCTCCTTCTTCTCAGTAATATAGGTATCCCATAAATATTGCCTTGTGGCCTCCAGGATGATAAAACTTTGAGGTCACGTTTAGTGACATTTTAATTGCATAGCTGGATATAGCTAGCCAGTTAAATCTGGTGAAATTCCTCATAAGATTATAAGTAAAGTCTTTTGAATATGTTGTTTTTACAGTCATTGACTTTTTGTTACATTTTGTACAGTACTTTAAGAAAGTCCCTCTTTCAGTTTTCTGGCAGCACTACATCCTCCACCTAATAATAAGCATTCATATTCTATCATTTTATCAAGCCGCAGAGATTTCCATTAGGACTCATTCCACAATAGTGATCCAACCATTCATTCATTCTTGGGTAATGAATAGCCATTATTGGATGTCCTATGGGTACTCCCTTCCCACCAATTGATAGCAATGAATAACCTGGAGATCATAACAGAATATGATATTGATCCCTGGTTTCTTTCCAGGTCATGCAACACAAATCTCAAAAGATGTAACCTTCATTGTTGAACAAAACAAGCTTGACAAATTCATGCAAGAATTAAAATTGTGCAGCCCTCTAGATGTTGTTAAACAGAAATACACAACCTGTATTACCTAAGGTTGCTAAGGATTGCAGTCCAAGAATATCTGGAGGCCTTTACAATTTCCATCCCTGGTATACTGTAAATATGTAAGCCACTGATATGCTCTGAACGTACATGTATAACAAAACAAAAAAACAGATATATCACAGAATGCTAATATTTGGATTTCTCTCTCTTTTCTCTGAAATATCTTGACATCTCTTGCTTTGGTACTTAATCATGTAAGCACCTGAATTTCTTTTCTTTCCTTGGAACAAAAAGGTTTTAGACGCCAATCATAAATACATTCAATAAACAACTTCTCGTTACATTTAAAACTGATTTAGAGTATCCAACTTTGTGCCGCACATCTACATTCAACCTAGGATGATTTCTTTTCCTTAACAAGTTTTAAGACAATTTCCCTTATTGTGTATATTTTATATATGACTTTTTGAGGAGGGGGGATCAAATAAAAAAAACCTGGGTCAACTTTTCCATTTGTCAGTGTTGGAAACAGATGATGACAATGCTGGTTCAGTGAGCTCTGTGCTCCCCACCAATGTTGGGTGCTTGAGGTAGTGCAGAGTGGTTGTCAACACAGAGTTTACTGCATAAATCTTGCAAGGACTGGCAGTCTTTCAAGCACCCAAAATGGTGGGCAGGCCACATTCTGTACCACCATGTCATGATTTGTTTTTCCTATGGCTTTGGTCACTGCCTTGGTGGATCCCTAACAAAGGTAGGGTGTTCCTCATGTAAACGGATGCTCTCCTTCTCCTTAAGTATGGCATCTCTATGCCTTTTTTGAGGGAGAAGAAAAGATTTGTTAGTTACGTGCCTCTAAGTTTTACTCTCAACTTATCTGTGGGTCATATGACAATCCATACTTTGGGCCCCAAAACCTGTTCTCAATTTACACATGAGATCAGCTTGTACTTGAGTAAATACGGTGGATCACTAACATGTAAGACATTTTCAAGCAGTCATCTGATAGTACAATATTATGCATTTGTCACATGTTTATTTCCCACTGAAACCACTGCCGATGTGCTACATTGGATGCTTATGTGAAAAAAAGTAACATCTTATGGCCCAACCCTCTAGGTCTACCATACCAGCCAGCAGCCGCATCAGGCAAAGGCAATCTGCTCAGCTCCCAATTGGGGCACAAGAAAAGTGATGTTTTTGGCCTCCTCTCAACAATGTACTACAAATGTCCTGCTCCTGATTATTTCAACCTTACTCACTGGTGGGAAGAGGAAGGTGTTCCTGGTGCCTTGAACAGTCCTTCTTTGCCTGATCCAGCTGCTGGGGGGTAGGAGCATTTACATGCTCATACAGCAAAACTGTAATCTTACTTAATATGGAGCATCTCTAGATTACAAATCAAAAATGGCAATACACAATGCCAGACCAGGACTTCTTCTTTAGAAGCATCATGCCATTGCCAATCCTATTCAGTTGTAGAATTATGAGAGAGCGAGTGCTTTTTCAAATCACAAGTGGAAAATACAATATTTTTTAACCTGGACTCCTTAATAATAATAATAATCATCATCATCATCATCATCATCATCTTTATTTATACCCTGCCACCATCTCCCCAGAGGGGACTCGGGGCGGCTAACATGAGGCCAAGCCCAAAAATACAATACAGCAAAATAAAATATAAAGCAACAAAAAATTACACCACGATAAAATACTTAAATGAGGATTGCACACTTGTGCACAGTTGTCATTCTCTCAAGGATTAACTACATAACCTATTGGCATAAGGTTGATAACAGTAAATAATAAAAGATTTGGCGGACACTGATGGGATGGTTCGATTTTTTTCGAGTATGATGAACTCTTAGAACTCTTATATATATATAAAAAAGAGATACAGTTTAGAACCAGATTTACTTATCCAAGTGCCAATGCTAGAAAGAACAAGTGTGAATTCAAGTCACCAGGTATGAACAATTATTCCACATAAAATGACTCTCTTTTGCCCAATTATCCATATTTTATGAAGTTGTCACCCAGTGAAATAAATCTTATCCAATTAATGTGTGATTTTTAGTTATTTAGACCATTAAATATACACCTGTTTGCATGCAGGAAGAAAAAAAAGTCTAGCTATGTTTAGATGATGCATAACTCTATGGGTGGCCACGGCCAACAGGGAGCTCGGGAATGGGCTGGTACATAAGGTCATGAAGAATCGGAAGCGACTGAGTGAATAAACAACTACAATCAACTCTATAAAAAACAGATTCATCTTCAAAGAGGCTCTTCTATCTCCAATGACAAATACTCCTTTTAAGATGGCATTTGGTGTATGCCCTTGTCATAAGTGCAAGCATTAAAGACAATTTACAGAGGAATGCAAAGTTTGGCCTGGGAGGAGTGGAGTAACTGAGCCATCTATGCATCCTTAAACAGGAGATCCCCCTTTATTGTTTTGCTGGTGTCATTAAAGGGACCCTCGGGTGGGCTACAGAACTTTGGATACAGTGGCACTAAGCCAGGCATGGGCAAACTTTGGCCCTCCAGGTTCCTAGCTGTTAGGAATTGTGGGAGTTGAAGTCCAAAACACCTGGAGGGCCAAAGTTTGCCAATGCCTGCTCTAAGCTACTGGCACTCAACCCCCAGAACATTCTGTTTGTGAGCTTTTGCCTGTTATGGCTGATCCAACAACTACCAGAGGTGTTCCAATCAATGCCCAGTCATCTCCTCCTGGAGAAGATAATCGGGATACATTTTCAGTCAGGCACAACTAATCTAGTCAATGGGCAATTCAATATTGTGATCATTATTGTTATTTTCATGCTGTGGTCAGAAGCCTGTATGGCATAGCATAGAGCAATCGTTCCTCATGCAGATTGAGGCCACAGCTGGCCATTCAGCACCTTCTGGCCATATTGCCGAGTTGCTGCAGCCTGCCTCATGGCCCTTATGTGGCTCATGAAGAGCAGGTGTGTATCCCAGAGAAACTCCTGTATCAAATACACAAGGCTGACATCACCTTCAGGTCCAGTGGGGTCCTCCCGAGATAGCAGCAGATAATGCAATAAATCTATTGCTTTGGTTGTTGTGGACTGAACATGGAAGAGAAGCTAAAAAAGACATGTGCAGGGATAAGGCAGCATACACCTGGAAGCCAGTTTGAGCCTCTCAGCAAATGTTCCATTGGATGATACAATGCATTCATGTCTTATTTTGAAGCTTTTGTCACCACTTCACAATTTTGAAGAAGACATTTTGCCCCTAATTAAAATGTGGCTTTGTTAGCATACTTTGTTCATGGAGCCATGTCATTGTGTGAGTGCCTTCAAGTCACCTGTCAACTTACATGAACTCTACGAATGTCATGGGGTTCCTTAGCCAAGGAATACTCAGAGAGTTTTGTCAAAAGAAAGAACTGGTCAACTGTAAAAATCCACAAATACCTACAAATGATTGTGGTTCACCAATAATATTATAGAAAGTAGTACTGCTATTTTACTTGCTTTCTGCTGACAGAAAAATGTGTCTTTTAACAGTTATGCACACCAGTTAAATTTGGTTTTATTATCCTTTTTCTTTCTAAAAAGATTATGAATTATTGTACTATTCGCTGAAGGCTTCTGTTTAATTCACATTGGAAAATGAGTATTATGAAAGTGGTTTTTACAAATGGTGGCTACATTTCTCTTCAAAAATAGATACATAATGCACGTTTGCTTTAAAAATAACTAATAAATTGACATCTAGAATTACAAACTTGCTTTAATGGTTTGTTGAAACATTCATTCTTGTTCAATAGGCACTAAGTCCATGAAAGAAGAATTGTGATGGCTCTATGTTCTTGTGTAAAACAACTGAAATTAATATCAAAGTGCTCATTATGTGTTATAACCAGGACTTTGCCAACAGATTATATTCCTACCATCTGCAGAATGTCTGCCTGTGGTCTTTTGGGCAAATCCCTAGAAACCTCTATCTCTCTCATTTACTGCCAGTATTATAATATGATTTTACAGAACTTGGTGGGAGACCCTTTCACTCATATGATTTGCAATAATCTTTTGGAAGTCAATACAGAAATGTCAAATACCATTTTAATCAACTACAAAATTCAATCAAAAGTTTATTTCTCTTTCATCAAAGCTTGATTTTATCTCTCCCTCTTGGAAAAATTCTTTCTTCAGGAATTCACAGCATGGCCTCATGCAACGGGAGGCACGGCCCTAGGTTTCACCATGTTTGCTTGGACCTTGTGCATACTTTTCCTTCTTACGTATATTTATTTTCTGTTTAAAAACTACAAGAGCTGATTATTTCTCTTTTCCAATCATATACAATTCTGCATTTCTCAAATAGTTACTGCAGTCTATAAGAGCAAAAAAGGTCCCATATGCATGCACAAGAAGTAATAATTGTCATTTAGGTGTTTGGCAGCAAAAATTAAACCCAGTATAAGATTAGCTTGCCCAGTTACATGTACATTTGGGAATGCATCATAAGACTTGTGTGGCCAGCTTTTCTCATGTAATGCTGTGAACCCAACCTTTTGGACATGCTCAGCTATATTTTACTCTACACTGTTTTTATTTCCTATTTAACTCCATCCCAAAAGTATTTTTTCTCCCTGCAGGTGTTTGCTATCTATCTGATATATGTTGCAATGATACTAGACATTTGGTACATCTTGGAAATTCATGCGGTTTTTTTTTCATTCCCCCTAAGTTCTGGGTATTATAAATAACATTTTTTAAAAAACCATAAACACAAAAGAACAAACTTTTCTTGCCTCTCATCTGGATTCAAATTTATAAGAATCAAACCTGCCACTCAGGTACTTTTGAGTAGACTTTCCCAAGACACGTAAAATTCCCAATAACATCCAACAGAAAAGTTTTCCACTCAAATGTTTTTATTAAGCATTTCAAAAAAAATCACACAAAAAGAAAATAACAAAAAAAGAGGATGGGGGTGGTGGAGCTCTGGTTAGTAGACTAGAACTATATAAATGTCTACTATGTCACCGAGGAAAAGGACTGAGGGCAAAGAGAAGCCTTATTTTTGTTATAATTATTACATCTATATCTTCATCTCAGGTGTGTTTTTTTCTTGAGACAATCCTTCACTAACATAGACCTTATTTTTTGAGAACTTATTAAAAGTAAGATGTGGTTTTAATGTATTGTTGAAGGCTTTCATAGCTGGAATCACTGGGTTGTTGTAGGTTTTTTGGGCTATATGGCCATGTTCTAGAAGCATTCTCTCCTGACGTTTCACCTGCATCTATGGCAGGCATCCTCAGAGATGAGCAAAACACTATCAAGTCTTTGTTATGATTTTGTAATAA